TTCCAATTACTTTGGTAATTTATTTCAAAATACCTGTCAGCAAGTATGTCTGTAACAATACAGACAACGAAAAGATTCAGGAAATGTTTTCTGACAAATAGATTCCTTACTAGGCATATTAATAAAGAACGTGATGTATCTTTGTTGACAGTTATATTCTGGTTCAGTGAAATTAAATATTTCATTTAAAAAGAGTCATTATACAAATGTATGTTACACAAAAGTATTGTAACGACCTGGCCTAAGAGGGCGCTAGCATCCTTAAGGACTGTTTTTGTCTGTCTGTCATGTCTTGTCCAAGTTCAAGCTTCTATGTGTATTGTAAGGTTTTTGGGTCACACCATTCTAGCGGGAGGGGGTTAGTGAGCTAGCAGAGTTTAATTGTAGTATAGTGGGTGGTTAGCATGGGGAAGGGAGACCAAGGTAAGACTGTGGGTGTTGGGGCGAGTGTGTGTGTACATGCGGGGTGTGTGGGTTTGTGTTTGTGTGAGTTAGGTCGTGTACATAGTTTGCCAGCTGACACCCCTTCATCTCCGGAGGTAGTATGCACGCCCCCATGCCAGGTGCAGCTGGGAGTGCTGGGGGGATGTGGTGACAGGTGGGAGTGGAGGAGGGCAGGTTCAGGCTGGCAGGGAATATAAGAAGGAGGGCAGCACCCACCCTAGAGTCAGACGCACGCAGAGTGGAGTTTAAGGTGAAGAGTGCTCATGTGTGTGTGAAGACAAACACACTCTACCCTCAATCTCCCTTCCCCATGCTAACCACCCACTATACTACAACTAAACTCTGCTAGCTCACTAACCCCCTCCCGCTACAGTGGTAGGACCCAAAAACCTTACAATACACATAGAAGACGTTATGTGTGTACATAACTAATACATTTTAAACATGCAAAGCTGGAAAAAGGAAGCATTTTGGTGGAAATCACAAATTCTGTGTGACAAAAATAAAATTGTGCGGAGAACATTAATTCTGCCCAAATTCTGCATTGCTCAGTGGTGCAGAATTCCAACAGGAGTATGTGACGTTCCCCTCTGGTGTTATCTGTACCGGTGATCTGCTCGGCCTCTCCAATCCTTGACTCTGGGAGCCAGCCTTACCCTGCTCTGCTGTGAGAACCCCCACTCCTGGGCTGTTCACGCACAGCCTCTGGCATGTAAGCTGCTCCCAGCTACCTGCAAGCGAATGACACTAGCCGATATCTCCGGTCCCAGACACAACCCTGGGAACCTCCGTCTTGCAGTGTCCAATTATGCCCACTGGACACTGCAAGCTTATATGAGCTCGTCAGCTTAACAAAGAAATAGATATGTACCAGGCTTGTTCTCCCAAGGGGTGTCTCTGACACACTGCAAACCAAATGAACTGCTTCAGGTAGAATAAACAAATAGGTTTATTAACTATAAAGGTAGATTTAAGTGGTTATAAGTCAAAGCACAACAAGTTAGATTTGGTCAAATGAAATAAAAGCAAAACGCATTCTAAGCTGATCTTAGCACTTTCAGTGTCCTTACAAACTTAGATCCTTCTCACCACAGGCTGGCTGCTCTTCAGCCAGGCTCTCCTCTTTGATCAGCTCTTCAGTCGCTTGGTGTGGTGTCTGTAGATGTAGGTGGAAGAGAGAGAGAGAGAGCGAGAGCATGGCAAAATCAACAAGGAGTCCGGTGGCACCTTAAAGACTAACAGATTTATTTGGGCATAAGCTTTCATGGTTAAAAAACCCACTTCTTCAGATGCATGGAGTGCTTGGCAAAATGTCTCTCCCTTTTATCTTGTCCTTTCTTTCCTCTTGGCTTTGCCCCCACCCCTTCAGAGTCAGGTGAGCATTACCTCATCACAGTCCCAAACTGACCAAAGGAAGTGGGTGACTCCCTAGAGGATCTAACAGATTCTTTTGTTGCTGCCTAAGCCAGTGTCCTTTGTTCCTGTGAGGCTGGGCTGGGTTTGTCCCATCCATGCCCTGACGACGTGTGAACTGCCTCTCTGTTCTTGGAGAGTTTTTGCCTGGGCTTGCTTAAGCCATGAGTATACATTTTCAGCCTCATAACTATATACATGAAATTATAACCTATAACCTTACTATAACATTACTATAACAACAATGCTCAGTGCATCATGAGCCTTCCGAAGACACCCAACCTGACAAACTTTGCATTGGATCCCACACAGTCATTTTATAAAGATGAACATGGGGGTGTAGGGTGTCCCCCCAAGCTACAGAGGGTCACAGAGTATATGATATGCCTGCAGCACTATTGCACAGAAATTTGTGCACCAATGACGGTACAGTATTTTGTATATTCAGTGGGTGGCATTGCTTGATTTCACAGTTGCCAAAGGTCAAAGTTGTTTCTGAAATTGTGCCTGGTACCACGGCTGGAAATGCAGTTGCCCAATTTGTGCACTTCAATAGGTATACATGCAATCTTGTGCTTGTTAATTTCAGGAGAAAGTTTTTTGAAAGTTTGGCCCAGTGTATTGTAATAGGAGTAAATAGGGGGTGTGACTGGACTACCAGCTGCGTTTTGTAGCTACTGTTTATGTTTATTATCTTTATCTGATCAACTTGCTAGACGTACGCATGAAAATCCAGAGCTTTGATTTCTAGAAAGTATTCATGGGGTTATCTTAACAATAGTAGCTGCACTTTGATGTCTTTGGTGGGGATGGGGAATTTAATCTCTCTCAGTTCCACATTCACAGCAATATATATTATTACCTGGAGTGCCTATTTCCTGAAACAGTGTTAGTAAAAAAATGTTTTATAATGTAAAGCGTTTTTTTTCTACTGGGCCCAAAAGTGTGTAAATACAAAAAGATTCAGTTTGGCATCCAGCACTATGATAAAGCACGTCACGGGTGTTTTGCGAACTGAAATATATGATGGGTTAGATCTGAAAAATGGAGCAAATATAATAAAAGGCTGCAGCTTGCTAATGAAAAAAACCTGGTGTTCCATCTGTGTGACTGTGTATGCTTGTACAGTGGAGTAGATTTCAGGTTGGCTTTAAAAGCGAATGAATTGTAAAATAATTATGACTGACATTTTTGATACCACAATAGCACCTAGGTGCCTGGAACCCTCTTGTGCTAGGTGCTGTACAAATACATAGTAAGAGAGAGTCCCAGCCCTGATGAGTTTGCAAACTAAATAGACAGGACAGATCTAGGATGGGAGAAGGAAGGGGATGGGGATTTAGGGCACAGAGAGAAGTGATTTGCCCAAGGTCCCACAGGGAGGGTCTGTGCCAGAACTGGGATCAGCACGCTGGAACTCCTTGCTTCTGGTTCTGTGCTCACCCCAGTCCAGTTTCAAAAGCAAGAGGAAACTTCTTTTGTTTGTCATCGCATTTATGCTGGGGCGGGGGCGTAAAAGAGACTGCTCCTGGTATGATCGTAATGTGCAGCTCTTTCTGGAGATGCTCCCATATGCTCCAGCATCCTGCTTGGAATTTCCAGTTGCTATAGTAACAGAAGGCATTTTGTTAAGTATCACACCATTGAATTGTTTTGTTGTTCACTGTCAAGGAAACTGGCACTTTTCTCTGATGTTCTGGGCATGGGGTGAAATGGAAGCAAAGGGGAGAGGAAAATGAAAGTTCTGATTCTCCTTTCGGATTCTTTGTCTTTTACCCCAGTGTAACGCCATAAAGTCAGTGGCATTACTCCTGGTCTGCACCTGTGTGCGAGAGGAGAACCTGGTTCTGATTCGCTGATCCATGGCATGTTGGGATGCAAATTTCTTTACTGGGGGCGTTTCTTTCCTTGTTGATCCTCAAGAGTAAAACTAAAAACCATTTACATGATTTGGAGCCTTGCTCGTTGTTGGCCCATGTCGTCAGACACTCATAACACTGGTACCCCGTCCTCCCTCCTCACTTTCCTCCTACTGTTTGTTTTCACTCTTTTTGCCCTGTTTCAAATTAGACTGTAATCTCTTTGGGGCTGGGACTATGTCTCCATATGTCTCCAAATCTGAGCATGGCAGGGCTCAGCTCTGATCTGAGCTGGGGCCCTTGGGGGCTGCTGCGATAGAACTAAGGGGTCAGATTCTCCACATGATGTAAAGTAGCATAGTTCCAGTGAAGTGACACAAGCTGAGGATCTGACCCAAAAATATTGAGCTCCACTGGATTCACTGTGGAGTTAACCCCAGGGTGAATTTTGGCCCTGCAACTTTCCGGCTGTTGTTGAAGGTGCAAGATGGAAATTGGGCTAAATCCTTCACTGGTGGAACGTCACTGAACTCAGCTCAATGGAGTGACATTAGGGATGGCTTTGGCCATATAAGTTGTGTTTACCCTGAAGTTCACCAAGGGGAAGACAGTCAGCTCTTTGGACATCTCCATGGCCCCATTTCTCATTGAGCGCTTACCCTAGCAACACGTTTCCACTTCCCGCAGAGACTACATGGAAGGTGTAGAGAGAGGAGAGAAAGTCCTTCCAAGGTTTGAAAGAATGAATCAGCTCCTCTCATGGGCAAAGAAAAAAACTGTTGCAAGGAAGGCAGAGCTGGGAACTTACACAGAGAGACAAAACGGCACAGGAATGAGGAAAAGCTACAGCACCCATTACTAGAGATGGACCTGAATCAGAGCAAAGGAGTCAAACACACCAAGACCGAGCTGGAACTGAGATCAGGATCCAGAAGTGAATTTCCAAGCTGTTCCATCCCTATCATGGGCTGAACCAACTATGCCACTTCGGGAAATTTGCCACCTGGTTGCCAACCCTACAGCTCAGGTCTAGCTGTCCCTGGTCCTGCTGAAAACTCCTTTGATTCCCCCCAGACAGGCATAGCATCCCATTGTGATGTCACCTCAAGTGAATAGATTGTGTGAGGTCACATGCAGATGATGAGGAATATTGTGGTCACCTCTAGGCAGAAGGACTTGTTGCCTTTGGCTAGACTATGGTGTGGGGAGGTTGCCCCTCAGTATCCGCCGTAGCCTCACCTCTTCGAACATGAACAAGGAGCATCAAGTTAGAATGGGATTAAAATGCTGTTCCTTACCCTCTGGCTTCTAACTGCCTTAATGAGAAGCACACATGCAGGTAGGTGGATTATAAACCCTGAGCACTGTCCTCGGTGGGAGCCTGGTTCTGCCCTCGTGTTATAAGTCCCTGTGCTTTGCACCGGCGTGAGTGAGCGGAGAATTAGGCACTGCCTTGTAGGCTGTCAATTCGTTAGCGTCATTCTCCAGCCTCAGCCAGAAACAGCATTTCAGCTGCTTGGGCACAGTCTAGGACATCTGTGCTCACAGCCTTAATATGTGCAATAACTGAGCAATTTTCATAGGCACAATGAGACAGCGAAGTAAAGACCACTGGGTCCAAAGTCTGACTTTATAGAGTTTGAAGACAACTGACTTTGGGGGGGGTGGGGAAGTTCAGGGTGTTTTTTAAACTATGTGTAATCTTGTCTAGAGTTGTGAGTTACTTTAACCAATTACCCACCTCCAGGTGAGAGTTTACATCTAGGTTAATGTGTGAGCATTCAGCCCCAAGAATGATTGCAGTAGACAGGTTATTAGCAGAAGGGGGACTGCTCTGGGCACAACCAGGACAACACCGTGCTCTTTTATTACTTTTCTTAGCCAGCCGAACATCAATACATGCACTGCAGTCTGGTAAAGGAGAGCGAGCCCAATACAGAACGCATAGTATTGGCACTATTCACACCATGCCTTGCGGAAAAAGCTGGAGCGTTAGCCTCATCATCATCCTCACCAAGGCATGCAGGCTGGGACACAGCTTTTATAACGGGTTAAGCTGACACTAGGGTGACCAGATAGAAAGTGTGAAAAATCAGGATGGGGGGAAGGGGGTAATAGGCGCCTGTATATAAAAAAAAAAGCCCCGAATATCCGGACTGTCCCTATAAAATTGGGACATGTGGTCACCCACTGGGGTTCATATGTATTCATGAAGGTTTTTAATTCCCTTTGCTTATTTGAACCTCCACATCCCACTACTTTTGGGTGCCCCGTTTTTCATAGGCAAACTTGGTAGTTCGCCTTAAGCTCATTAACATTTACAGCTCCTTATGATCACCGTCGTAAGAGGCGGTTACCTTAAGTCTCGAACATTTCACCCCAGCTACCAACTGTCATCGTGTATTGTCTGCTGATCTCTTGCAGCCATTGCTATCCAAACTCAGCCGCTCTTTTCAAAACAGCAGCATATCACAAACGTCCACACAAGCTCAGCAAGTTTATTACTCACTTATTTATGCTAGTTTATCTTTATAATATAGCTAATTTATCCTAAGGCCTAATTTGGCTATGCTAAATACTTTACAAGCCTGAGGTCTGTAGGCCCTGTGCTACATACTTATATTTCACCTCTATATCCTAAATATATCTGATAGTTTTTTATTCTTGGCTACTTATGTCTATTATTATTTGTATCTTGTTAGCATCGCAGAGTGCCGGCCATGAACCCAGGAGCCCAGTCTGCTAGGTGCTGTACAAATATAGAACAAAAAGACAGCCCCTGCCCCAAAGCAGTTATAGTCTTATTAATTATATTTGCTGCTTGCTTCTTAAACTCATAGATTTCACATGCATCTTCATTTTCATGACAGCTGGGCTAATTGGAACAATATGTTTTAATATAGCTAAATGCTAGGTAATACGTGTAGGAACCAAGGCTCTCGGTCACACAGGATGGAGGAATGTATTTTGGAAGCTAGTGACTCAGAAGAGGATTTAGGGATCATGGTATATGGTCAGCTGAACATGAGCTCCTAGTACGAAGCAGCGAGGAAGAGAGCAAATGCAAATTCTGTGATGTAAATGCAGGGGAATATCAAGCAGAAATAGGGAGGTGTGATTACCACTGTCTACAGCATTAGTGAGACCACTTCTGGAATATTGTGTCAATTTCTGATGTCTATACTTTAAAAAATGAAGTTGATAAATTGGAAAGGGGTCAGGGGAAAAAACTACTAGAATGAGTCAAGTTCGGGAAATCCTGCGTTACAGTGATACACTAAATAAACTCAATCTAGTTTGTTTATCAAAGATTAGACTGAGGAGATTTAATCCGGGTTTGTAAGTGCCTACATGAGGGGGGAAATCTGATAGGTCCCAAACAAAGGAGCATGGTCCAATGGATGGAAGCTGAAGCTAGGCAAGATCCGATTGGAACTAAGGTGCACATTTTTAATTTAGAGTAATTAACCATCGGAGCAACTTGCTGTACTTCTGGATATAAATTGCTGTACTTCTGGATGTACTTCTAAGAGAGATGCTTTATCTCAGCCACAAGCGTAGGCTTGATGCAGGATTCCATTGGTGAAATTATATGTCCAGTGTTATGCAGATGAGAGTGGATAATCATGGTGGTCCCTTCTTTGGCCTTAAAATCTGTTCGTCTGTGAATCCCATGTTGTACTCATCATTCTGCTCACGTGGCATCTAAGACACCAAGAATTCAGACCCAAACACCTCCTAACTTTGCAGGAATTCAAAATGTAAACCTGGATTTAAAAATGTGCAAATATCCTGTCTCTTTATAAAGGCTGAACCAAACCCCAGGATACAAACCCTCTCCCCTACTGCTTGTAACTTTGGGGTGCTTGAAATCCCGATCCAAAGGTTGTTTCTTGTGCCCATCTCTAAAGACCCAAAGTGATTCTGTCCCTTCTGAGTTAGGTGCGTCACTGCAGAAAATAAACCCTGGGCTTCATTGCCCTCTTACATGATGTAAGTCAGGAAAAACTCCACTGAGGCCAAGAGAGAGACAACAGTGTAGAACTGGTGTGAACATAGAATGGGGCCCTGTGGGTGGTTGTATCTGTTTTGCAGACTGATTTGAAGTGACCTGTATACAGACACACAGTGCACTGCCTTTTGTTGTTAGACTGTGGCCTCAGACCCTCTTACAAACCATCCACACTGAAAGAGTCCAAGACCATAGGGGGCACGGGTGCCATGTCCGGTGAGTTCCCCTGGCAAGTGAGCATCCAGACCAAAGAGAAGCATTTTTGCAGCGGGTCGATTATAAGCAGCTGGTGGATTTTATCTGCGGCACATTGTTTCACAAATGAACTGTGAGTACTGGGGGGCTGGGGCGGGGTTGGGGGGGCAGGGAATCCTTCTTATTGCAGCTCATTGTTGAGTAGAGGCAACACCAGGCAGGAAGCAGTCCTCAAAGAAAGTGAGTCAGTCACATTAGCTAGGGAGAGACAAGGAAATAAGTTTATGCCACATAGAAACTTTCCACACCTCCGGCCCCCACCCCCCTCCAGCTCCATGATGTAGGGATGGAGAACCTCACTGCACAACCAGACCACATCTCTGACCATGCTGACCTCATCTTAATCAACCGTGAAGCCTTTGCTACCCTGGGTGTAGCAGCCTTATCTTCTGGCTGCTCTAAGGGGGCAACTATTATTAGGCCAGATTCACCTCTTTCCTGCAATGTATCAAGCTAGGTAATAATAACAGGACGGTGTAAATTACACCCCCTCCCTCCATCAAAAGCAAGGGAGAGTGCAGTGAGCGCACCAGCCAGCAGACGGTGTTTCAGGAGTCAGGGACGTTCGGAGAGAAGAATCCATCCTCTCCCTCGTCCCCTGATCTGGTCTGGTGAGGAGACATTTCCCAGCCCCACATTGGAAGCCAGGGATGAAGCATCTGCCTCAACCAGCCGCCTCTTATCTCCTGGGAGGAGGAAGCAGCAGATCTCTTGGTGCTTCTCACCTTATCCAAACAGAGAGGAGAAAAAGATCACCAGGGTGGGATTCGGCGAAGCCCAAGTACCCTGGCCTCAAATACCAGCGATGCGGCTGAGTGGTGGCCCCGTGCACATCCCTACTTTTGTCATTATCACACTCTTGCCAATAGGACGAGCTAGTGCGCTTTAGCTCCACCCACCTCAAATCCCATCACGATCCCTGTTAGGGTAACAGTGCTCCTCAATAGCCCTTTGCGCTTGTAAAGTCCCTTCCATCCAAGGATCTCAAAGCACGTTACAAGCCAACTATCATTCTCAGTTTACAGGTAGCCCAAGGTCATAAAGGAAATCAGTGTCAGAGCTGCCTGTAGAACTCCTTACTCCCAACCCCCTGTTTTCACTATTAGCTCTGCTGTCTTCCTGCAGCCTGCCTGGCTTCCACATGAGGCGCGTGATGTGCGGTGCTGGGCAAAAACGTTGCACGAAAATTAGGACGCCTTCCCAATGGAAGTGTCTTTGCCCTTTGGTGAGAAATCAAACATGGCTCTGCTCTTGCACCAACAAAAACCAAAACGATGGTGTTTACTCAAAAATGGTTCCTTTTCAGTGGAAAAAGAGCAAATAACTGCACACCAATTAGGAGTGTGCTAGGTGCTGCACAAAGATAGTGAGAGATAGTCCCCGCCCCGAAGTACATCCAACCAGATGGACAAAACAAAGTGTAGGAGGGAAACAGAGGCACTAAAAAGGGGGTGCTCTTGGCCCAAGTTCATACAGCAGGTCAGGAAAACGGATGGTCCAATGGTTAGGTCTAACCTGGGACTTGGGAGACTGAGGTTTACTTCCCTTTTCTGCCACAACTTCCTCTGGGACCTTGAGTAAGTCACTAAATACTGCTATACTACAGTCAATGAGCACAAGACCTGCCCCTTAGTCGTTCTGTGCCTTGGTTACCCATCTGTGTAGTGGGGATGACAGCACGTCCTGTCCTCACCAGGGTGTTGGGAGGATAAATCTATTACAGATTGTGAGGCACTCTGATACCATGGTGATGGGTGCCAGATGATACACATCTAGTGACAGAGCCTGAAACATTTTGAGCAAAACTAGGCCCATTTTCGAACAAGGGTGAATTACCCCCTTTCTCCACAAGTACTCCCAAAGAAATCAGTCTGGCTCCTCCTGGAATAAGGTGCTACTCCCTGTGAGTGAGGGAGGCAGAATCCAGCCTTTTGTGAAAACGGTTTCGCAATGCTGCCAGCTCTAGCAATGCGGATGGGTTTCCACGGCCTCTTTGGCTATCCCAACCCTGCGATATGCAGAGTGCTTTGAGCTCCCTCTCCGAAGGAGGGTGTCTCCCCTATCTTTGCAGAATGACTTTGCTCCCCTTGTTCACGCTTTGTCTCCATTTCGTTCCTAAGTCCACCAGATCTTTACGTGGCGTTTGGGGCAGTTGACTTGGAAAGCCACCAAGTAGAGAAGAAAAAGCTGGACAGGCTGATTCTGCATGAGCACTTCGATAGCGCAAACATGGACAACAACATCGCCTTGCTCCTGCTCGACTCCCCAATAGAGTTCAGTGAACAGAAAATGCCCATCTGCTTGCCCTTCATTCATGACCTTCAGACGTGGAAGGACTGCTGGGTTGCTGGTTGGGGAGCCACGGCTGCAGGTACTGTACTGTGTGGGGGAAGGGGAGTATTTGCCAATGAAGTCTGCGTTCACTTACTTTAAAATAACCCCCCTACAGCAAAACGAGGGATGGGTGTACGTAGCCCAGGCAAGAAGCTCTGGTTTCAGCCAGCCTGCAGCTGCCATTCCTCTCAGCTGGGCAAGGCCCAAACCAAATATACATGACCTTGGGAGCACCCACAGGCCCTGTGAGTTTGGAAGGGAGGCTGTGATGGCAGCCTGCTCTCACTACTGCTGGAGATAACATGGTAGGTGTGTCAGGAGGAGTGGGGGAGGGAGGAGATGAAGGTGAAAGCTGCTAGGCACCCAGTCTAACCCTTAGAAAGAGCTGCCCCCTCTCCTAATTACGACACCAAGGTTCCTTCACATACAGCAGCTCCCCTCAGTTTGAGGCACTGCTCTCCAGTGCAAAGGGCAGCCCCCTCCCCGCCTCCAACAGGAGACACTTCCCACCTTGTGAAGATAGCTAGCTCCAACTGGAGACCACGAAGGCCCCAATTTTCAGTCCCAAAAACTAGACACACAACAGATTTGGCTGGGATGCAGGTCAATCTGGGCCTAAATTGTGAGCTGTGGTTCATAATGAAGGGGAGTTGAGAGCTAGGACCGCCCTGGGTGAAAATATGTTCACAGGCTGATTGTTCCCATGGATTCCAGCCTCTTCACTCGTCTTCAGCTGGAGGGACTGATTTAGGCGGACAGGATAAAACGGCGTAATGGCCCAGTTTACTCTCTGGTGAACTCCCACTGAAGTAACAGAAGCTACATCAGGACTGAATTTGGCCCAATATTCCTTGCTTAGTTAAACAGCGATGAAGAGTGTTCATGAGTAAATATTTGAAAGGCTTACTCAAGAAAGGAGACCATTTGGGTAGGATGGTACCAACCCAGGGTGTTATAACAGCCCCATACACTCTACTGGAGCCTATTGTCCCGGCCAAGTCTTCTCTCTGAACTCCCTCTTTATGTAGTAGAGGGGCTGTATTTTCCTTGCTATCCCTTTTGCCCCCATAAACCATATTATCCTATTTTACTTTGCTGCCTCTGTGGTAACAGCAGCATAGAAGCAGAAAGGCCGAGCATGAGAGCAGACGAATGTTGGGCACATACGGGGGTTTTCTGGGAGTTGGTTCCCAGAAAGTAGTAAATAGAGGGGGTGAGTTCCCTGTGGGTTATTCACTTGTTGGTTTTGGGCATGGGGCTTCCTCGATGTTTTGTTCTTGCGTCAGCAGGTTTCTTCAGCTGCAGGTCTTTAATCAGCTGCCGCGCAAAATGGCCAGAAGGGGGCAGTGTTTCCAGTCTCATTTCTCCTAGTGTGGTGCTAGTCTGCCTCTGTACAGCCTGGCTGGCAAAATGCCGAGTTAGCTGAGCTCCCATACGCAGGCCCGGCTCCAGCATTTCTGCCGCCCCAAGCAAAAAGAAAAAAAGCAGCGATCGCAATCGCGACTGGCGGCGGCAGTTCGGCTGGGGTGTAGCCATGGAGTCTCTTGCCCCACACTTCTTAGCTTGATGGGTCTGTTTACTCTCTTTCTATGTAAATTGAGGTAAATACACATTCCTTGGTGGGACAGACCCGTGTAACAACACCCCCGACACACCTTGTTTGCACCCACTTTAGTTCTAGTTCCAGCATCTATTCATAACTCTCAGTACCCACTGCATGCAGACATCCCACAAGAATAGTAACGATCAGTGAGCTATTCGTTTTCAAAGGAGGGCCGGATGTGGCCCCCGGGCCGTAGTTTGCCCACCCCTGTTCTAAGTCGATGGCGATTTGCTACGTATTCATTTGCCCCGAGTGCCTGTTCTGCTCCCTGCGTTGCTTTTATTTGTCTAATTGGTACTTACAGCCCTTGCTTCCTCTTCAGAGCAGTGCTAGCTAGATAACCCTCCCATAGCTGCAGCCTGTTAAAGGGCATAGAAGGGGCTGCTCATCTGGGTGCTTACACCACCAAGGATTTCTGCTGCAGTGATTGCCTCTGCATCCCCTCTGGGGGGCTGTGGTTGGAGACCCACAGTCTAGCCGGAGGGTCGATATGCCCTTGCTGTGATCTGACTCACTAAGTGATTGGGCAACGAAATGGCAAATGAAATTTAATGTGGATAAATGTAAAGTAACGCACATTGGAAAAAATAACCCCAACTATACATATAATATGATGGGGGCTAATTTAGCTACAACAAGTCAGGAAAAAGATCTTGGAGTCATCGTGGATAGTTCTCTGAAGATGTCCACGCAGTGTGCAGAGGCGGTCAAAAAAGCAAACAGGATGTTAGGGATCATTAAAAAGGGGATAGAGAATAAGACGGGGAGTATCTTATTGCCCTTATATAAATCAATGGTACGCCCACATCTCGAATACTGCGTAGAGATGTTGTCTCCTCATCTAAAAAAAGATATACTGGCACTAGAAAAGGTTCAGAAAAGGGCAACTAAAATGATTAGGGGTTTGGAACGGGTCCCATATGAGGAGAGATTAAAGAGGCTAGGACTTTTCAGCTTGGAAAAGAGGAGACTAAGGGGGGATATGATAGAGGTATATAAAATCATGAGTGATGTGGAGAAAGTGAATAAGAAAAAGTTATTTACTTATTCCCATAATACAAGAACTAGGGGTCACCAAATGAAATTAATAGGCAGCAGGTTTAAAACAAATACAAGGAAGTTCTTCTTCACGCAGCGCACAGTCAACTTGTGGAACTCCTTACCTGAGGAGGTTGTGAAGGCTAGGACTATAACAGCGTTTAAAAGAGAACTGGATAAATTCATGGTGGTTAAGTCCATTAATGGCTATTAGCCAGGATGGGTAAGGAATGGTGTCCCTAGCCTCTGTTTGTCAGAGGATGGATATGGATGGCAGGAGAGAGATCACTTGATCATTGCCTGTTGGTCCACTCCCTCTGGGGCACCTGGCATTGGTAGACAGGATACTGTCTACTGTCGGTAGACAGGATACTGGGCTAGATGGACCTTTGGGGGCACTGCTTTTTGGCGCCCCCAAATCTTGGCGCCCTAGGCA